TTTTTTGAATATAATCATCACTCAAATACCTTTCAATTTCATATTTTTCAAGAATTTTTCGGTCGATTGTTAGATGCTAAAATCATCAATGACGTCACGATTTCGTCAGTAGGGGCAGACCAAAGCACAATTGCCATGTGTTGAAATACGATTGGGAACATCAGAAATATCAGTTATTTAAACATTCATAAATTCTCAAATAAGTATTGGTAATATTCCGATTCAGCAATACAAAATCAATTGTCTCAAAATGTTCCCTTATAATTTGTGGCTTATTGCTTATAATACAATTGTGTAAATAGTTATTATATTAATTCACGCTGGCGCTCTTGACTTGTGGGCGTGGTCTTGTCAGTAATCAGCATTCAGCACAATGTTGCCAAGTCTCCAACATTTACATGATATTTTGTTTTGGAATATAAGACATACTTGGACATGCTGCTTGCATAGAAGTTCAAAAAAATTCCAATACCTACCTCCTGTCCCTATCCTTCCTGGGAACGCACGATGTTCTTTGAACATTATAGGGATTTCCTTTCGTGCGCTCCAAGCGATAAAAAAAATGTTGTTTTATTCAACGACAGAACTCCTACATCTTTTTGATAACTCGATTATAATTGGTGACTTGACAACCTTGCTTCGTGAGTGGGAATGGAAGATTATCTGACCAATAACGAATCAGCATAAGAGCTGACGTCACCATGTATTCGACGTATCGCCAAATGGTGGCCATGACCCTACGTTTGAAATGAGCTCCGAAATTCAACAATCTCGAACAACACACATTCATTATTTACATTAAAAAAGCGTGAGAAATGTTACAAAAATTAATTTAGGTCCCTAACGAGACAGTGGAGTTTTTAATGAAATTATGATAAATGACTCAGCATCAGATCATATTACCTCTCTTACGCTTGCCATGCCTTTTTTTATTTTTTCTGGTAAATCTGAAGCTCGAATATACTATTTTCTACCACTTCAACACAAGTCACACCAAACGCGAAAAGCACCACATGGCCACAATGACTAATTGCAAGCCACCCTCCTCCTCCCTGGTCGGCCGGCCGTACCTCCGAGTATCGTCAAGTGTCCTCAAATGTTTCCCGCGATGAAGGCATACATATTATTTATTACCGCTACGTCCGTCAAATAATGTTATGCCATATTAGACACATTACATACAATATTCAAGTTATACTTAAATTATTAATATTTCTGACAGTGACATTATAAGCTTATATCGTCATAGTTACGATATCTATTATGAGGGTCATAACTCCCTTGGGATGTTATGGATGCTATAATTCCCTCTAACTAAAATTAAATAAGAAATGCATAGCAACAACCACGCAGTAACGTAGCAATAAGGAATCTCCTATTCGCGGTAGTCAAGATCATCATCTGATGTTCTGATGACATTGAAACTATACGGAAAAACATGTCTAACTTCCAATCGGGAAGGTATCTAATGAATGAAATCAGTCAGAAATAAAATTATCTATGTATCACGGGAATTACTGAGCCTCAATAACCTCAGGCAATTGCTGTCCCTCGGGCCAGAGGCCCTCGGGACGCAAACTTTGCCATCGGTAATTAAGGCCCTCATAATTCCCTTAATACATAAATAACTATTATTATTAGGAATTTGCAAATTCAAAAATTACCGCAAACATGAACAAGAACATCAATGATTCATATCATTTTCGTATACCTATTCGATTTTTTCTTGCAGTTGGTACATTTCAACATCAACATACAAATATGGAAATAATAATCATAAATAGCTACAATATATTGCTAAAACGAAAATAGGATGACGATCTGTGCATTAATTAGGTCGGTACTAGGCACAGCACACTATACGGCTGGTAGGTACGTAACGGACGCCAAGCTCGGCCGTACCAGTGTAGTTGTTAAGGACCGTATGCCACCTATTGGCCCTATTGCAGACGCCACCCCGTAAAACTGAAGCATTCCACTACATTAATCATTTCTTGATTCACATTTGTGTTATGTAATTTATACTAGTGTTTTTGGGTAGATGAGTCGCCAAGACGAGTCAGTCATTTATTGTATTCAGTACCGAGAGGTTATTCTGAGAAATAAAAGTTATTTAAAAAGTACAACGCGTATCAATCGTTTCAATGCCTACTCATAACATAGTAATGAGCTACCAGAGCGTTTCTACGTATGGCGGCGTGTTGTCGTTGGCATAGATGGGATTAAACTTTATTATCTCCTAGATTGAAGTGTGATCCCTTGAAATCACAATGATTTTTGATTCAGGTCAATATCTTCTCAAAAAACATGTAAAAATTAATACCCCGTTTTCTTAGCACGGTGAAAATACCCTAATTACAAGAACCAAACTCCTTAGATGTAGGTTGTCAATATAACAAGTATGCCCTCCTCGAGCTTGAATGACAGCATTCAACTGCCGTGTCATCGATTCTTGAGGAATTATCTCAAAGGGCAAATCGTAGATCTTGAAGAGTCTTTGGTAATACCGGACGAAGACGAATGCGAAGTTTATAAATCGCACAAGAGTTAACCCGGCGTCACCCAGGTGCGGTCTGACAGACCCTAACAAATTTTGAATCACTTATTTCCATCTGTGGCGAATTCAGTCTTTAGTCAGCTATCAAGATAGTGACAGAGTAGTAAACAGCTTTGGGGCCTGAGAAGCCCCACCTGTGTTACAAAGATATACATTTTATTCTAAGAGATTGATGTAAATTCACATAAGAAAATTGATCATATTCTGTTTTTTTCATATACTACATGCTACTTTTCTAGCTGGTAACTTGAACATTTGCATAATTAGTTTTGCATGAAATCTTACAGAATTGAAAGTTGTATATTTTTTTCAACAAACTTCCATCAGTCGATCAAATAAGGAAGTTCTAGTCATACGAAAATGGGACTGAAATTTGTTTCCCCTAAATCCTGGAATTATGTTTTTGACACATGTTGGAATCCTCTTGAAAAATCCTTCTGGTGCTCCTGGTGGTTTTTGAACTTTTGGACGTATAATAATATCAAATGTTTCTTCCGCGTCCGAGGAAGAAGAGCCACTGTCATCGTGAAAAAAATAAATTATAGAGGAAACTACAGAATCCAAATATAACTCCCTCCATTGTCAGTATTGCTTCATTTCAATGAAAAAATGAAATATAAAATATACCAACACTTGAAAACTACTGATCCAAAGAAATATAGGTTAGACATAATACTTCTTGCATAGCCGTCTCAAAATTAATATCAACGGACGTGATCCTGCTGAATACTCCTGACGTCATCTTTTTACCCTTTGTGGGACGTTCGATACATTTTTGAAACGCAGCTCAGAGTGTGGTGATGTGGGCGCACACTGGGACAACGTCCTGTTGATTCCTGAACGGTTCATGAGAGACGCTCCAGACTGCACTTTCCAATTCCTAAACGCTCTAAGGTAACACGGGAGTGCAGCCAGTGGCGGCTCGTGACTTTCATGACAGAGGAGGCTGAATGATATGAGATTTAATGTGAAAAACAACTCTCTACTCACCCAAATCAATAGCTTTAATGATATTCTGTTCACCAGTTAACCTGAACTTGATACTTGAAGAGATGTGTTCCTGTGATTTGCAGTGTCTGTCCAATCCGCGAGTCAAATTTTTCAAATCATTATATCCTAATCGCCCCCAACATGATGACTTATCGGTTGAAAATAATACGCAGTACCAACAAAATAGCTTATTCCTTACCTCAAATCCTGTCAACCAGATATATTTTTTATAATTATCAGTATTGAACGAACGATTTTGTTTGTTACCTGTTACAATCAGATTTTTTAATTCCGGTGTCGGACGTTTGTTTTTCACAATCAATTTATCTTCATAAGACAAAGCACTGAATGGGTACACCAAAAATTATTCCACTAAATCACAATCGTTTAAAACACTCATTTTTCAGAAATTTATAGAGCCCCTAACCATTAACCTAACATAAACAATGCACACGCGTTTGTGCGTAATTCGCGAAGCGACACGACAAACACGTGCTATTCGGGCGTATTCGGGCATTTGCATTGCGCGCGTAGGTTGCGAAATGTGACGGAGTCTAGCCTCCTATGGATGTTGCCAAGTTGAATATTTCACGCGTGATTTGCAGACTTCGACGTGTGATGCGTGGGTAAGCACTGTTGCCAATCCAAAAATATTTAACTTAAAACAGGAAATAAAATAAAAAACCATGTATTTTGATGTCCTTTCAATGAGAAAGTATAGATAATATTAGTTTAAGGAAAATCTCTGAGGAGGCTCAGCCTCCGTTGCTTCCTCTGAGGAGCCGCCACTGGAGTGCACCCAACACACCAGAGTGTCATTTCAAAACGCACCACAGTAGTTTGTAAATGAATAATTCAATAAACTCAAAGGAAGGAAGGAATGCTCGAGGTTATGTGCACAAATTTCAATGGTGTTGTTACACAATCAGAGCAGATATGTTTCAGTCTTATAAAAGACCATCTTCAGCCTAATTGAAAGATTGATGTGAAAGAAATGCATAACTTGTTCTTGACTTACTTGGAGTTGGAAAAGTGTGATGCTACTAGTTGTGAAATTGTTGTCAATACCTCACAACTAGTAGCATTACATTTTCTCAACTCCAAGTAAGTCAAGAACAAATTATGTAATTCTTTCACATCAATCTTTTTGTATTGTAGATCTTTCAATTAGTCTGAAGATGGTCTTTTATAAGATCTAAACATATCCCTTCTGATTGTGTAACAACACCAATAAAATGTGTGGAGATGACTACGAGCATTCCTTCCTTCCTTCCTTTAAAAAAATTTCACTCCACTTTGAGAAATATGGACTTTTACCAAAGATTAATCGTCTTCGTGAACTTTCCACAATTTCTAGAGATATTTATCAAAGTAACGGCCAAGTCTATAATAAAATAATAATTCGTCTACCCTCGTGGCTAACAAATGGAAATAACTGATTATTTTTGTTACAGGTATCTATGATGAACGCAGTGGCGGGAGAAGTAACGACAGGCTGTGTTCCACGTATTAAGAAGGAAATGGACGGGTTTCCTGATTGTTCGCCTTCCAACAGTGATATGTATTCGCCCACAACGACAGTCATAAATGAAACTAGTATTAGGCCGGCCGACAGTAAGGTTAGGCACTGATATTTTTACTAGAAATAATCTATTTCACGATAATATACCAAAATTATCAGATTATTCGCACTGAGAATTGACTAATTTTCTAATTAGAGAACAAGACGATAGCGAGCATTGCAGATAAGGTTTCGTAAGAAAGTCAAGTCACAACAACTAAAATAAAGTGGAGATTTGGAGACTGTAGTTATGCACAGAAATTAAATACTAGGAAGATCAACTCAGTGGCGTAACTACAGCATACAGTGTGGTCCAACGAAAACTTAACACCTCTATTTTCCGGCTTTAAAATGAAAATGTGGAAAATCGCTCGGACCCGTCAATTTCTAATACGAGGGGGAACAACTTTTCCGCTGTTTTCATCCCCGTAACATCAACCCCCTAACGGGGGTGAGCACAACCCCTTGATTTTGAATAGGGATGAGGGGTGTTGAGATACCTCATTTTGAAGATCTTATCGTGTACTATCTGACCGTAAAATTTCACTTCAAAATATCCGTCGATAATGAAATAACAGCGAAAATAGTGAAAGAGGCAATATGGAATTTATCTCGAGAATATTATTCGTATCCGACGCATTTCAAAGGTATTGAGTGGTTAATTTTTTGTCCAAAAAAGTAGACGGACCTTGTTTTTGTACCTTAGTCTATCGTGAATTGTTAAGAACGGTACAAGTGTGTCCAAGCGATTCTAAATTTGTAGTGGAATTGGAAATGATAAAATTATTTTTCCGAAATAACGACTCTGCGCGCACAACAGCGGCTTTATTTAACGAACGACATCCTGGAAAAAATGTATCCGCTGCTTACGTTGTGCAACTGGTTGCCAAATTTGACGCTACTGGTTCAGTTGGAAACAAAAAGAGGGTGCATGAAAGAGACGAAGCGAGGGACGTGGCTGTCTTAGGTCATATAGCAATGGATCCGACCGTTAGTACTAGGAAATTGTCCGATGTATCTGGTGTTTCACGCACAACAATCATGAGAATCCTGAAACAACATAAACTCCATCCGTATAAGATACGATTGGTTCAGGAACTGAATGAGGATGATCCCGATCGCCGACTCCAGTTCTGTGAAGTGATCAGTGAAATAATTAACGGCAATCAAAACTACATGTTCGATATCTGTTTTTCGGACGAGTGTTCATTTTACCTTAACGGCATTTTAAACCGGCATAACTGTCGGTATTGGTCAGATGAAAATCCACGATTATTTCGTGAGGTGTATACACAGCGCCCCCAAAAATTAAATGTTTGGGCGGGTATTTATGGAAATCACATAATCGGTCCTTTTTTTCTACCCGGTGATCTCACAGGCCAAATTTATCTTGATCTATTGGAGAACGCTATTTATCCAGCCCTCGTGCAAGTATTGGAGAATGCAGAAGACCATCAAACGATCATTTTCCAACAAGATGGCGCACCACCTCACTTTGTTCAACCGGTTCGTCAGTTTTTAGATGACAATTTTCCTCACGCCTGGATTGGAAGAAGGGGACATATTGAGTGGCCACCCAGATCACCTGATCTGGCTCCACTGGCCTTTTTTCTATGGGGTCACCTGAAATCTAAGATTTACGCTACCCAGCCTGAGTCACTGGATGATTTGCGAACTCGGATCATTAATGAATGCCGTCAAATTACACCAGAAATCTTGAGTAATGTACGTGAACGTTTTCAGCAAAACTTATATTACTGCATGGAAGTGGATGGTGCCCATTTCGAACATTTAATAAAGTAATCACAAAAGTACGTACTCTTCCACTATTTTACCTGTCATTTCGTTATCGATGGATATTTTGGAGCGAAATTTTACGGTCAGATAGTACACGATAAGATCTTCAAAATGAGGTATCTCAACACCCCTCATCCCTATTCAAAATCAAGGGGTTGTGCTCACCCCCATTAGGGGGTTGAAGTCACGGGGATGAAAACAGCGGAAAAGTTGTTCCCCCTCGAATCAGAAATTGACGGGTTCGAGCGATTTTCCACATTTTCATGTTAACGCCGGAAAATCGAGGTGTTAAGTTTTCGTTGGACCACACTGTATATGTATCAATCAACAATATGGATAATCTCTATTTGTTATGTTCCTTAGCGAAAAAGACAAATGACTATCCATAAGCATAAGGTGATATACTGCGAATGCTCAAATGCATGTTCAAATGACAGACACATCATCGTGGTAACTAACCTATCAATCTTTGACATGACATTTATGGATATTTATGCACAAAGATCTGAAATACCTAATGATATCCTATTCCAGTTTTCTCTTTCAGTATACTATAAAATATTTATGTTTATTTTATTCAACAGGACGAATTCATTGAAAATGATGCACTAAGAGGTCTTTGTTAATACTAGTCATCAGTATTGCTATCAGCTTGGTTATCACCAGATGGTATCGGCAGGTTACACTTAGCAGGTACACGTACCTAGTAGTTTGGAAGTAGGATATCGAGCAAAAATAATCAATTAATACTATACCTTTCAATAATTGTGCAAAAAAAGTACATCAAGAATTTTCCACATGTAAAAATTCCTTTTACTCGAAACTACTGCAATATAATCACATTTTCAAATTATTTCATATTGAATCTGTAATAATCCAGTGTAAATTTCAAGTAGTTTAGACAGGGACGTAATGTAGAGGGAAAATATACTCTGAATATTTATAATATCCTCAATCCTCTGCTAATGAACATGTCCGCAAAACGTCAACAGAAACAACAGAATGTCATGACCTTATGAAATGATAAAACACGTACTCCTTTAATTCAAATGCTGGTAAACGCCACTGTCTATGATAACGCATGTCTATGATGATTACTATATTTGCGCATGCGCATCATGCCACAAAATCCTTATGGATAATGATTTGTTTAATATTTTTAGCTTCAACCTGGCACTCATTGTTATCCATATTGTTAATTAATACGTATATGAGCTACTGGCTACAGGGGTGGTACAGGGAGGCAATTGCCTCCGGAGCCGGTAGCTAGATATAACTATAATGGTTGAAAATTGGCTATCGATATCCAAAAACAATAAAACTACATAACGAATTTTTCAAACAAAAATCAAAGAATATCAAGAGTACCCACAAATGCCTTTAACTTGAACTTAAACTGAAAAATTTAAATCCTTTTTCAAATGTGAATAAGGACATATCCTTTATTTGACAGTCAAAGAGGCTTCAATCACTTTTCGCCACTATCGCGGAAATTATCAGTGTCACTATCGATAGTATCGATAGTCTCTATGGTGTTTGGACTATCGATAAACTATCGATGACATCGCTACCTTTACCGGTAGCCTTCAAGGTCCGATGTTTCAATCTTGATTGAGATTTCGTGTGGATGAGGAATGAGGATGTACCATGTGAACCCTATTACTGAGATAAATATCTTGATGGTTGTCCTCGTTTCATTATTCTCTTTATCTTTTTTCAATGTGTTTAATGGTGTTGTGAACCTGTGGAAAATAGTTTCATTTCCTCCCTTGTGTGTTTAATGCCCTACGCTACGCGTCGTGCATCAAACTTCACACGCGGGAGGAAATGAATACCTTTCCTCACTTTAATATAAATAGCTATTACGTAGTTTTTTGGTAAAAGCAAAACCTCACTGGTTTATATAACTAGGTATAAATAAGCTTCGAAAAAATATAGGCGATATGCGAAATGCCGACAATCACGAAGTAAATGACCTCTGTGAACTAGCAGAAGAGGCGAACTACAAACGTATTCAATGGACATTAAAAAGGGAATTCTGATTTTATTTCACTAGTTCTGGAACTACTTTAGTGGTTGTGAGCTGGTTAATTGTGTTTCCAAATCATTCTGCAAATAAATAATATTGTAGAAATGAAATAGTTGGAGAATTTCTCAGTCAGAAAAAGCTATTCCTGATGTACCTTACATTGTTTTTTCATACAAATTTTCTTTCTGGTTGAGAAATAATATGAAAAAATGGGGTATATCTTGTTCATAATGCAGTAGTATTGTTTATTTTTGCAAGCTTGATTTCGTGTTGGTTGTGATTTCAGGACTATACTATATTCCAGTTCCAGAGTTCAAAAACATAAGAAAATGGGCTTCGGAGTGAGCTCTGAAAGAAATTGTGTTCATGATGATTGTGATTCTAGCAATGCCGTTGCCCTGCACTCCAATGATAAAAAGAACTAATCAGAGGCCCAGCATAATGTTTGAGGAGCTGGATTTAATTAATTTCTGATTCTTCAACAGCGGATATTTTGTAACCTCCAAACCAAATAGCAGATTGCCTGTATGTAAAGAGCACTATGTGTGCCATTGGATTAATAATAACTGATTGCAGAGTTGAAGATGATAAATTTCAATGTGGAGTAAATATGTACTCGGGTAAACATAAAATATTTTTTTCTGAGAACTTGGATTCTATTCCTATGCTTTTTATTTTAGGCATGTCAAAAGTATTCACAAGGATTCACTGTCTAAGATAATAAGAGTGGTTGTGTGAAACATTTTTTGAAACCAATGCAAATGCATGAAACTCTTGTAAAATGCTTTTTTGCATTCCATAAATAATTCTAATAAATTAATATCCCCCGTTAAAACTCAAATTGATGATTTGTTACTCATAATAAGGATTTAATAACGACTAATTTACATAGAGAAAATGTTACCTCCATTTCATAAAACATAAATGTTTCAGCGTCATCTATTGGTTCGTGATATTCTCGAATTGTGATTATAATGAAGTTATTTCTCTAAAAGCTTTTCGGATCTTCTCTCCTCCTCAAGGAAAAATCAAGTGATTTCCTCCAAAATCTCACTGCGCTTAAAATTTCACTATTAGAGACTTGAAAGAGAAATTTAATCGATAAACAGTGACACCTAGTTTGAAAAATGTTTGAATAAGAAGAATATAAGTAAATATATTGGAAAATATGAAATTTCACTTATCTTTGAATGTTTTGGGACCGAATCTGACCCTGTTTTCAATAGGAATTTATGGAAAATATGTCTTGAGTTGAAGTTCTCGTTTTCAACGTCTTGTTTGACGATTCGGAGCATAGGTATTGTTGGTGAATACTTTTCCTCAATAGCAGGATCAGCACATTGAGTATGATCCTTGTCTATTGACCATAAATTACCTACTTACCTACTTTGTTCAATCCTCAGTCATGGCCGAAATGTTCAGTTTATAATGTTAGTTATAAATTTTTAATCATGTAGTTCTGCTGGATAAGTTCTCTCACTTTCGCATTCAAACCAACAATACTCATTTTAGGTTGGTCGTATAGGTTGAGATATCACTGCAACCTAGGAGATCTATTCTGAAATCTGAGTCCTCTTACCATAGATTTTTAACGAAGCCTAGGATTTTATTGACGTTCGAATTTTCCATCTGAGCAGGCGACAGATAGACCTGTTCTAGGTGATTCAGTCTTTGGCGGACTAATACATTACATGAGCAAAGTATGTGTTAAGGTGTTTTGGTTCCCGTGTTGCGAAAACGGCAAGTATCAGTATCCGCTCTACCCATCTCTTTGAGGTGATTCAAAGGGCAATGTCCTGTGAGAAAGCCTTTGATAAGCTTCAGCTCTGGTTTGCTGAGGCTGAGTAGCTCTTTGGCTTAGATTTGCGAATGGTTGATGAACCTGTTCGCTTGACCCGGAGTTGCTCTACAGGAGGAGGACTTTTCGGTCTCCTCCCATTTCCAAAGCTCTGCCATTAGTTGACATTTGCTTGTTCCACAGAAAGGCTCTGGACCAAAAAATGGAGACTCTGTACCTCTTTTGCAACGCGATGGAGGAGGAGTATGGAGTTAGTGATCGCCAGTTGGTGTGTATGCACACACACCCTGATACACCTTCATATTTTTCTTTTTACAAACCAAGGTTAAAAATTCGATAAAATAGTTGAATAGAACAATTACAATCCTTAATAATTATAACCTATATTACTCGAATCATGTCAATTGATATATTGCTGAGTGACAAGTCGTGGCGGCCATCTTGGATTCTGGGGCATCAGGATGTCGAGAAAAAATAACACCTCATTATTTTTAACGTTCTGAATGTATACCAACAACATCCAGTGAGGCTAGTCCAGTAAGGTTTTGCTTTCATCCACAAAAAAATACGAAATTATATTGAAAGACATATGTCTATAATAAAAATGAGCAATCTATAAAATCATTTCTTATTTATAGTGGTAATGTGCGATGTGGATAATATTTTTTTAGAAAACACAAATATTATAAAAGTATCTTGTGTCAGAATCATGATCTTTAAGTATTTTCAATGGTTATCGCTATATTTTATTGAATTAAGTTCAGATTATATACTCTCAGTCCGTTCATATTCCATAACGATTATTCTCTTTTCAGGCTGATTTCCATGAAAACCAATACGAACGAAACATAAGATCTCCAAGTAGTCCGGAAAGGCAATATTGTTCTTCAACTACACAACCCCACATAGACTCAGGAATGGGACATATAGAAGTAAGTACATATTTTAACGGTCATATCGATGCTTCTATCATTTATAGAGACCTTGTAGTATTATATATTATTACCTCATATCAATATTTTATCATAAGGAGTTTTGATTACAAATTAGGATATGCGAATATTAATTCTAAAATGTTTAAAATACCAAAATATCACTTTTTTCAGAAAATGATTTTATTTGTTTATAGAAAAAAAAACACTCAAAAAGTTACCACCACAGAGATAGACATGATTGCTCCAATGTGAAAAACTGTATTTTTTAATGACGTCTTTATTTCAGGGTGAAATAAAAGAAGAAGATTCACCTCGAAGGTTATGTCTTGTATGTGGTGACGTTGCCTCAGGTTTCCACTATGGTGTTGCTTCTTGTGAAGCCTGTAAAGCATTTTTCAAAAGGACAATACAAGGTACCTACCTCATCAATAATTATAGACGCACGGAATATAAACATTTTCTGACGTTTGAAGAAAATATTTGATAATTGTGTATCAAGTTACTACCCTAGCCTACTATTTTTAGTAGCCTAGCTACAATGCTATTTTAACTTGACTATTCAGAGAATAGGTCGAAGAAACCTTCATTTTGGGAAAATATGTGCTAGTAGTGGAAAATAGTAACTACAGGGTCCGGCAACAGGATTGAATGGTTCTGAAAAGGTTGCTGTGGAAATACTGTTTATTTGACAAACGTCAAATAGTAATAAAATTGTAGTTTATTATTGTGTTTTAATGCTAAGCAATGTGCCATCTGACGGCATATATCACGTGATCATCAAGTGTGATTATTTGGTAGTAGTATTGAAGGTTATAAGAATTGTTCATTCAATTGTGTGACTGATTATTATTAGATTATTTGTTTATACAACCGAATATGGTAGAAACATATCTTCCGAGTCGTTCTGGCAAAACTATTATTTTGATATATCACACTTGGCGTCAGAAACATATCATTTTTGACAGAATGACAGCGCGGGAAAATGAAGATTAAAATCCCAATTGAAGGTTTTGTGTAACAATGGTAAATTGGCCGGTTAATCAACGGATCTTTGCTGTAAAATCATTTATCCTGACCCAGTCCATCGTGCAAATCCAGAGGCGTTTTCGCCGTGAATTTAATTTGGCAGTGCTCGCTGAAGTCCCATCAAGAAATGCAATTTGGAGATGGGTAAGAGATATAGACAAAGGGCAATGTAAACTCAAAATTTGTCGGAGGTACACGTACAGTTCGTACACAAGGTAATATTGAAATAATAATAATAATATTTATTATCCAATGCAAATGTGGAGCAAAATACTCCTACAGTGAATAGGGACATTTTTCAGTGAGGAAATGTTTCAACTTATATTTGAAACTATTCAAGCTCACAATATTTTTGACCTCACGCGGGAGATGATTGAATACCATCGTACCTGCAGTATGGCGGAGTGTCGGAACTCACCTTGTATTTGACGAATGGAACATGGAATTCGTCATTAAGCCTAGTTTTAATATTATGAATATTTTCATTTCGAGGAAAATCATTCTGATTATTGAAGACATAGAAACACAACTCAAATAAATATACCTACGACAGTTAGAAGTTTATTTTTGGGAAACATTTTTCTACAAGAATGTGTTTTTGGAACCTTCCCTATAATTCTGAGGACTTTTTTTTGTGCAATAAACACATCCTGTGATAATGTGGATCCACCCCAAATAAGAATACCATAACGTATTCTCGAAGCAACTTGAGCATGATACAACATCATCAATTATTGTTCCTCAGACAATACTCCACGCAGATGTCAAAACATGTAGCAGAATGAGTTCAGCTTTGAAATTATGCTATTGCAGTGAAATTTCCAACTCAACCATTCATCAATTATTGTTAATCCTAAGAAAACTGCATCTATTGCAGTCAAAGCTTTACTATTAGCTGTAATATTCAGTTCCGAAATGTTTTTCTGTGCATTATGAAACCTCATTATGTGGGTTTTCTCCGTGTTTAATAAAAGTGAGTTTGCACTGCACCATGAGTAGATGCAATTCAGTAACTGTTCACAATTGTCTTTGAGAGAATCCTCTTCTTTATTTGATATCAGTACTGACGTATCATCAGCGTATGTGACGAATTGAGCATCAGTAGCTAAAGTGTCCAGCTCAATTATATAAAAAATTAACAAAATTGGCCCCAATACGGAGCCCTGGGGAACACCCAGATTAACATTAAGCCGGTTCGAATTGGCTATTCTGGATTCATTATTATTATTGTTGGTATTGATACAAACATATTGTTGGCGAGAGCATACAAACGATTTTACCCAATTCAGAGCAACCCCACTCACACCATATGAGTATAATTTCGAGAACCAGAGTAGTCGTTGAACGGAGTCCAACACATTCTGCAATTCGGCATTCAATTGCACTGGGAATTGCACGTTGTTTAACCGGCCAATTTGCCATTGTAACATAAAACCTTCAATAATAAACTACAATTTTATCACTATTTGACGTTTGTCAAATAAACGGTATTTCCACAGCAACCTTTTCAAACCCATTCAATCCTGTTGCAGGACCCTGTACATACCAAGGTACAGAACACATATTATTTTCTGTGCCTAGCTGTATTAGTTTCCGAGATGCGAAAAAGGAATCTTTAATATGCAATTTTCTTATGAATAAACACTGTCATAGATAACACCAGCTTACTTGAAATTAATATAAAGAAGCGCAAAAAGGAATGTGGTTGAATATAATTTATCACAGTAAGAACATAAGGACTTTCTGTTATACTGTTATAGGTTAAATTGATTCTTCCTAACGAAAAAAATTTGCCAATCAGTAATTTTACGAGGAAAATATGAAAAACATGAAAAATTTGTCATATGTCAGTTTTTCGGGGGGTATTGATGAAAATGTTTTGAGTTGGTAAGGAAATTCATCTAATAAAATAATAAATGATAATTTCCTTTAGGGACGATTTCATGTTTCTTGTAGTTTGTGAAATTTTATTTTTGTGATCTCTCCAAGACGGCTCTTGCGAATTTTCGTGTGTACAATACACACCAACCACACTTGACACGACAAAAATCGAAGTGACGGGCGCATAGTAGGTAGATGAAGTATGGTTTTGAGGAACAGGCATTTTCACAGTGATATAAAAATGATAAAAAGTGATGCATCTCTTTTATCGATATCAAAATGACTCGCCATCGTCAAATGGTATTTTCTATGGAGGAGTTGATTTATCGCTATTAAAGACTAGATCAAAAGAAACTAATGTGCATGGTATGGAGAAATTTTCATTCATTATTTTGCAGGCAATATTGAATACACGTGTCCAGCTTCTGGAGAATGTGAGATAAACAAAAGAAGGAGGAAAGCTTGCCAAGCGTGCAGATTCAGGAAATGCCTGAGATCAGGCATGTTGAAGGAAGGCGTTCGGCTGGACAGGGTGAGAGGCGGTCGGCAGAAATATAGAAGAAACCCTGACAGTCCTTATCAGGTACAAGTCTTTTCTGCACAGAGACCGATGCTTCTTCTAGAAGGTATTTATGATCCCTAATACAGATATATTTTTTGATCTTTTTCATTGTAATCGGGATCAATGCCGCAAGAAAGCACGGTGGGTGCTTTATCTGGAAAACACACACTACACTTGGTGTTTCCGAAATTGGGGCGAGCAATGAAATGGATGATAGGAGATGAAAAAACAAATCGATATAAAGGAATACATTTTTGTCTAAAAAAAATTTTTTTGGAGATATTTACCTAAGTTTTCCTGAAACTTCTGTAAATCATCGATCAGAGCAGAGGCGAATAGCCCAACCCAAGCGTTTGCTTTCGGCGAGATCTTTAGCACCGGAAATTTCTATAACTTTTGCAATGTTGCCGGACGTTCAATAATAGTTGAAATATGTAGTATGGTGGGAGCGCACTTTTTTTTTTAAATTTACTTGTAATATCACTAGAGGTTAAATTATTCCCCTAATTTTTTTCGAGCTCATGGACATTTTGAAAATTATTTCGAGTCGAAGACGGGTGGTATTCGGTAAGAATATTCACACCAGATTGTGTTTGTGAATTAAATGATTTTAGAATTTGTTTACTCATTTGATTTTCATATAATACCAATAATAGTTTCCTAACTCACAAATGGCTAATTTCTACCTTTGGAAGTTGCATGAAAATACCATTTTAGAATGTAACGTATTATATTCTTTCATTTTATATCAACTACAAGTGGTAGAAGATTATAATTTTATCAAAAGGGGAGGCGATCGCCTAACAACTAGGCCCTCGCTGCACACATATCCTCTTCCTTCTCATAATTCTTCTTTTCGAACCTCCGTGATCCTTCTGATGAAGGTCAGTATGTCCGTACGTCCACCTTAGTTTAATAGAGCAGTTAAGCTAGCGTCGAGAGAGAATAAAAATGCCCTACCCATCTGTCTTTGTCTTCAGTCTTCCAACGTTAAAGAATGGAAATTTTATATTGGTTACATTTGAAATGAAAAAAATGGAGAAGAAGATCATATTAACCTCAATATAAAAAAAAGGTTAGAATGATATTCTCCATTTATTCTTATTTCCAGTGTTGCCAACATGAAATCTTTAGTATTTTATGTTGGAAAACTGATGACAAGGACAAATGGGGAAGACATTTTTGTCTTTCTTAACCCTAGCTGATCTTCCTGTTGAAGCGTATCAGCACCAAAAATTTCGAATATTAGCATTCCATATTCCATCATACGTCCTACACTGGCCCAGGTAGTGGTGTGACATTGGATATAATAGATGCAGTTTGGGCACCAATGGATTCTCAGCCTTTTAATTCTTGATTTCTACTCATTTTAGTAGCACAAAATCACTATTTTAGGACATGAAAATATTATTCTGTCATTAAAAAATTACAAAAATTTCCGATTTATTTCGCTGGTAGGTAATCACGAGAAAAAAATCTACCAAAATACATAATTTGCTATGTTTATTTGTCAAAGAAACCCAATTTGGTTAGGTAAACATGTGGAATTTTCAAAATCAATTTTTTCTAGTGATTCTTCGTGTCATTATGTCTCATAGAACACCTAATTTTATTCATCGCCCCCAATTTCTGAAACACCCTGTATAGATTCAGATAATATAATTCTATTTCTTGATGTGTCTTCGATTTATCGAATTGATTAGAAGATTCAATATTGGTGAAGTGACCTCCCATTGGTCTATTGTGGCTCACCGTCAAGAATTGATCAGCTCAGATAAGTTTTTATAAAGTCCATGGTTGAATGAGGTGTAATTTTCTCAAAATCATTTGGCTCTAGATTGATGATACTAGATGTGTTGATCCTTGATCTTCAAACTTAAACATGAACATAATAAGTGTTCAGACGTTTCATGTTCCACATAGTTGAACTGACAGTATGTGTGTTGGTTAAGACCCTAGGGTGCTGCAACTAACGTAGGTTGTTTTCATTTCATACCAGGATCTGCTTAGATATATTCGAATATTTTGTTTCAATTATTTTATATCTTGGAGCGTACAAAAGAAAATTCCTATAATGTTAGAAGAACATCGTGCGTACCTAGGGAGAATAGGGAAAGGAGGTTGGTGTTCGATTTTTTAACTTTTGGAGGTTATAAGTTCCAAAGAATTCCCAATCTTTGCCATTCTATAGACGAGCGAGTTTTGGTAAAGTGGTTGTTCGACTTATTTCAAGGTTGACAACGAAAGGAAGAAAAGATAGGGTATCCATTTTACAAAAGCACAGCACAATGGGACTGCTTTAGAAATATTTGTGAATTCAAGACTCACCTCTTTAGTTTTATAATTTCAATTACCTTTCTACTAATTAACAGAAAAATAGAATTACCTGTTTTCCATCCTTAATCGCAAATAAACGTAAAAAAGGTATTTATTGTTTGCAAGAATTCCAACACAAACGTATTGGCGATTCGAATAGAGTACAGAGCAACAATCGAACATACATTATTGGTTGCATAGACGCATCCATATATAATTATTATGCAATTATCAGTTTTGAAGTGTGAGTAGATACTGTTCTAGAATGAGTAATCTGCATTAATATGCTTAGTTTCGCATGTTTTTTTTTAAATGGCATACCTAATACGTTTGACTGACACTTTCACAATACTTTTGTCCTTGTTAATAAAAATTAGATCCAACATTGTTGATTATTTTCACAATAAAAGTTATTGAAATGTGTAGTTATGTTATTTATCAATTCTATAAATATTACTCAGTAAGTTCTTGGTCACACCAGTAATTGAAAATTATATAATACATTTATGTTGATGAAAGAATACATTTCTGACGAAAAAATTGTTCTGGAAGATATTGAACTTCATCTATTCAGTTGGATGATCGAAGAAGGTGCCACTCACCATTCTGTCATTTTGTTTCAAATATTCAATATTTCTTCAAAATTATATCTTCCATGCTCTCATAGTTACGTTCACAGTTTTTTGTCGATCTGACTTTCTCATTCTCGTAAAAAATATGTTCAACTCAAAATATGTGAAACTCTTCCAGACATAAAAATGCTGGAAGCGCTAGTCAGCTGCGAGCCTGACTGCCTCGAAATCAACAAGGCCTTGGAAACATCGAAGCACCGTACGCTCTCTATCCTCAGCGACCTCTACGACCGAGAACTAGTCGGCATCATCGGGTGGGCCAAGCAGATACCCGGCTTCACCGATCTCTCGCTCAACGACCAGATGCGCCTGTTGCAGAGCACCTGGGCGGAGATCCTGACGCTGACGTTGGCGTTCAGGAGTCTGCCGTTGACGGGGCTCGGCCGCCTGCAGTTCGCCGGCGATTTCGTGCTGGACGAGAAGCAGGCGCGGGAGAGCGGGACGCTGGAACTTTACCAAACGGTGAGCAAGATTTCGGACTGAATAACATTAAATAGACACCTATATTCATCCATAAATCATTAAAAACTATACGCGAACAATCCTGAACGTCAAAATGAAATCGCGAATGGTGGGGATTACTCTACGATCTCTCGCTGGGCGACCAGATGCGCCTGTTGCAGAGGGCCGCTCAGAGAGGCTCATGACATTCGTGGAATGTAATGAAACGAAAGGAATCGATAATGTAGTAGTAAGTATGTGTGTGGGCGGTCCGGGACCTGACGCACTTAGGCCTCCCTTTTCGGGCCCATTGTGCACCCACATTCCTAGGATCGCAAGTCAGCCATGGAGAAGGCCGATCTCGCGAGCAAAAGAGACCAACTTTCTAGGCCAAATCTTTTTAAGATACTGTCCCCAAAATGGATATCCCTTGCTGCCACTATTGCCGGGCATTCAGTGAGGATGTGAGTAGAAGTCTTTTCATCCTCTAGGCACCATCTGCATTCAGGATCTTCCACAATCCCGATCGTGCTGAGATGCTTGTTCAAGTCGCAGTGCCCTGTCAGAAGGCCCACCACCAGTTTCAGCTCCTTCCTGTTGAAAGCCAAGAGGGCATTGGTGTGTCTTCGTGACGGGTTTCCTATATGGAGTTTGGACTGCCTCATTCCAGGAGCCTCTCTCCAGCTGTCCTGAAACCTTTCCGTCAGGATTTCCTTCATCCTGAAGTTGCTACAGGATCGAGTGACCCCAAGAATGGCTCTGGACCAATCACTGAACCCTTCGCCCCCTTTTTGGCCAGACCATTGGCCATTTCGTTACCTGGTACCCCTGAGTGCCCAGTGACCCACAAAAGACATACTTTGTTCGTTGCTGACAGCCTTTGTAGGCTATCTATGCACTCTGACACCAATGCCCAGATTCTCGAATCCATTGGAAGTCGTTCCCATGGGAAAAACTCGATATTTCCGATGGAAATTTGAGATGATGTATTCTTGAACTATTGTATGGGAAACTATTCCTACACATTTCAAGAGAACTGCTTGCCATGATAATACCCATGGGAACATGTTTCCCATAGGATACAATTCGAAACTGGGTCCATTTCAGGTTAAACCGGAAGTGACAGGATAGTGAAAATTATTCGAAAACATTCTCTTGACCTACCATTTACCTATACAGAATTTCATTATGATAAACCTAATATTTTCGAAGTTATTAATTGTCTAGTGAATTCGTTGATACCCGGTATGGTCAAAAGAAGCTGATATTTTGAATTTATCAATAGTGATTCTAGAGGAAATAGTACTAGGATTTAGTGGTTGAAAGTTAATGAAGGAGCATTTAGTTACCTGATAACCATAATAGATTTCTTCATATTTTTAAATTTTTGCAACACTTCGTTGACATGCAAAAATCTAATTATATTCTTTGCTTTTTTTTCAGTGTTGCCATGTTGTAGAGAGGTTAGATAATCTTTCGATATTGAAAGAAGAATATTACCTCTTGAAAGCACTAGTCCTTACAAATTCTGATGTTAAGTTAGACGAGTACCAGGCACTAAAAACATTCAGGGATACTATTTTGAGCTCTTTATCAGATGCTATTGGTATCTTGAGGTGAGTACTATGAACGTATTATGTTTTTTCTTTTATGTATAGGACGTTCACGTATATTCAACACTAACACTGCAATTCAAATGTTTACTGCAGTTCTCGACACACTAAGTACGCCTCTCTGAATTTGGTTATTTTTCAGCAACCGGTATTTTCCTAAGAAATTGATTGATTTACTTGCGGTTTTCGGTATCAGATGTGATATTTTATCGACTTCAGGAACAGCTACAATAGAACGAAACTCACATAGAGTGTTACGTGGAACATTTCACTATGGTCTATGTTTGTGACACTGCCTGGCCTCAAAAAAAGTTTTATAATGAAAAATTGGAGAATACATTAGGATTCGATCTTGGAATGTTATTCGAATTCCTCCCCAATTCGCAATTGGTTAAAAAATAATGATTTATTTTAGTATCAATTCCTTAATTTTTTTTTCAGAGATACGTAATTATTTAATATAAAAAAGAACGAGGAGACGAATCAATCACTGTAGCAGAATATACATAATGGAGGCAAAATAGGAAAAATATCATGTTAAAAAAAGATGCACAAACGCAAATTAAAATAATGGCTCATTGGATACTCAGAATCGGCCATCTTGATGTTCATTATCCATATCGAACTCCTATTTCTAAGTGAATTTTGAAATTGAATCTATAATAATTGCTGTACAGGTTGAAATTTCTCATAATCCCTTCATCTAGTACCCAGTATGACGCATAGTATCCTCGTTCTTCACACATAGTGGTCACTGATGATGATTCATATTGGAAGTTCTGGAAGTGTAGGAATATGAATATATTTGTTTTATTATCTCTTAGAGCACACAAAAGGAAATTCCTATGATGTTCAGAAAACATCGTGCGTACCTAGGAAGGATAGGGAGAAGAGGTAGGTATTTGCATTTTTTTTGCTAATTCGGCTAATTGTATTTCATATTTGTATCGAGCATTGTCAATTTGTAATGCTATGTTTCATTCGTTTTTCTTCGAACTTCAAATAACATGAAACATAATCAGTGTTTATAAATTTTCTAGAGAAAAATTTCAAGAAATGTATGACTATAAGAAATACATTATTTTTCATCCAATGGAGAATTGGAAAGAAATTCTCCGTCCCGTCCCGAGATGAAGTCCCAATATATCGTGAAGTGTCTAACTTTTCATCGGGAAATATTTTTCTAATAATAATAATAATAATATATCTTTATTCATATTCCCTGAATTACAAATTGATCATAACATCGATGGTACACAAGAATTGTATGACAATATGTAAGGGCGGAATTCAGTCACTCCTATCCGAAGATAATAGTGCTCTTCCATTCAATGCCATGCAGCATTCACAAGTTATGTACATTTTGTTCTGTGATTTTCACTCTTCAATAAAGCTTTCTCAAAAATCGATAAAATATCACATCAGATACCAAAACTGCAAGTAAATCGATCAATTTATTCGGAATATACAAGGTGATCTATTTAAGGGTGCGAAAATAAGTGCCATCTGCAAAAGTGCTTACACATTTTCGGAGCATTGAACAATCTTGGAATTCCCCGGCAGTGCGAGGTAACTACCTGCAACTGCCACGTGCTAGTCCAGTGTACAATGATAGCGGGTTGATGACTTTGTCCCTTTTAATATTTCGTGTTGATCAGTAATCGAGTTGGAAATAGTGTAAATATGGCAGCTTTCACTTCGCCGGAATATTATGATTTGTACTGACTTTTGGTGCAGTAAATTAATATTTGCAGGAGTGTATTCGTGAATACTTTATAAAACCTGACTGGCGCCGAACAGACCAAAACAATGCGGAAGTTTTCATCGGATGAGTTTTCATCGGATGAATTTTCATCAATTTAGTTTCACACTTTCTATAATGGTTGTAGGTAATATACAGGCTGATTCACGGTGGAAGGCACATTATACGTTTCTGGAGAACGTAATCTGGGAATTTTCTGAAAATTTGGTGCCTTGGATAATTAGTTGTACTCTACCGACCTAAAATATTCTCAGCGCTGCTTATATTGAAAAGTAGCAACAACTTTGATTTTTTAAATAGGACACCCTGTATATTATTCCATTTTCAGATTCTTCCTGAAGAGCTGATTTCATTGAACTATCACACTATATATGAAATTATATATCAGTATATCGCCACGCCGAATTCAAAATAATATCATTTTTTCTCGGAAACAAAGGTTACAGAATCTTCAAGGGAACTAATTAAATCAGCATAAAAACTACCTACCTACCTACCTAGGCAATATATTTTCATGCCCGAACAAACCAGACAAAAAAAATATTTCCAAAATATTATAACTATTGTCCGGATATTACGAAAGCGTCTAGGGGTCACACAAATAAAAGAAATTAAGTTTTTCCAATATATTGATGAGAAATAGTTATCGATATATCGATAATTATCTAGTTATCGATATATTTTTGAAATTATATGTGGTAATTCGATATATTAATTTATTCCCAGGCCTAACATTGAGTGTGATGGTTCAGAATTCGAATAATTTCTTCGACTTTAATCCTTAATTTTTTCAAATTTTGCTTCTATTTAAAGTTACTTGAATTCAATTTGGTGGGGACAATAAATCTTATAATAGATTACCTTGTACAGGTTGTCGAAAAACACGTCAAATTCTGAGAAGTTCACTTTGTGTGTATGTGAACTTGAGAAACTTGAATATCGTTGATCGAGCCATGATCAAATCTTAACTTTGCACAAGTGATATTGATATCTATTCTAGATTTTTGAAAATCTATTTTTTAGGCCCAATGGTGTTTTGAATCACATCCAGCAGTTGTTGCTCTGCTTGCCCGCCTTGAGGCAAGCCAATTATGTCGTTCGGAGGTTTTGGTCTGGCATCCACCAGCAAGATTTAGTACCTATGAATAAATTATTTTTGGAAATGTTGGAGGCATATTGTCGGTAGCCCTATTGAGTTTAGTTTTAGACCAGTTAATATAAAACTACAGGAAAATTTGTAGTTAGAATCAATTTTGGAGATCTGCTGTATTTAGTTCTGATCTAAATGGAACGGTTTTTTATTTCGATGAAAATGTTAACGTTGTTGATTATATCTTAGGGAGCAGATGAGTCAGGGGTGGGACTCAAAAAAAGTGTCTTGATCCTATAAAAAAATTGCATAAAATTAGCATAGGGCTATTAAATGACCCAGTCTTTTAACGTTTTCGTTATCAGGTGAAATATTCTTTATCCCAATTTTCTCATCTCCAAGAGAGGAAAAAATAAATATTCAGAAATTACCTATAAATGTTGACAAACCACAAATTTAATTTAGAGGAGGAATACTTGTTTTCCAATTAAAGGAGATAGGTAAACAGAGAATTGTCGCATTTTTATTATGTTTTGTGTATGTTCTGAAAATTTAGAAACTTGAAATGCAACAAATATTATTCGTTTGTGAATTATGATTAGTTTATGCAGCAGTTTTCTCAACATGGATTGTACTGATTTACTGAATAATAGAGAGTTGAAGTGTTGTCATGAACGTTAACGTAAACGTAGAAATTGACAGCTACGCATGCGCATTTTCCAATTCTTCACGTTTGCGTTGTTAGTGGGCTTACGGGTGTACGTTATCTCACGTACCTTCACGTATACCTTAAATATTAACGTACGTTAACCAAACTATACTCGAAATATGCCGATGAGTCAAAATTATCAAATTTGGGATCACCAACGAGTTCTGCATCAAGGAGTCCTCTCATTTTGACAGGAATAAATGTTCGAATCTAAACACACAACCAAAATTGACCAATACAAACCAAAAACAAAATGTATTATTACGTTATGATGACAGTGACGACTTCAACTCAATTTAACGACAATACGTAAACGTTATTTTTCGTACCTTAACGTCTAGGTTGAGGTCTACGTACAGTGATTACTTCAACTCTCTTTATGTGGTAAGTTTGGTTAATTTCCAATGTTCGCACAGTTTTATGAATCTGTTTTTTATAAACGATATTATTATTATTCTCTTTGATATTGGGAGTTGATGGAAGAACATAGCAACAATTATTTCGTTTTAATTTTATACATAAAAAAATCAGGTTTTTAAATTATTTACAACTGCTAGAAAATACACTTACGCGATAACAAACTATTGCATAAACCTATCATCCATACTCAAGGTTAACTCTTATATTGTGGGAGAGTAATGATTGGAAAAAGGCTGTGCTTCCAGGTCATAAAACTATTTTTCATTATTGTAATCTAAATGTTAGATTGCAGAACTAATATTTATGAATTATTTTATTAGGTACTTGAAATTTGCATGTGAAAATAATTTTGTGATATTGTGATATTCGGGTGTACTATATATTACATCTAAAATAACGTTCTTGCGAATTTTCTTGTAGGAATCGTTGAGGTTTTATCAGTCACTTAATCTGGGATTTATAGAAATGGACGACAATATTATTTTTCATATCTGGACTTGTCTAGATGTCTCTCAATATTTTAACAAAATCTCTGAAGTCAATCATAGTTTATCAGCACTAAACAACTTGACATGCTAAACTCAATCAATTCAACAATTTGAATCACCAACAGAAGTCGGACTTGCAAACCAAAGGCCACATGACTTTGTTGAATTTTTAGAAGTGAAAAAAACCTTTTCATTACACTTCTTTGAAGTCAACTTGTTTTCATCAATATAAGTAATATTGTAAGATAGGATTTTACGACTATCGCACGAAAACAGCGCACGGAAAAACTTAGAGAATAACCATGGAAACGAATCATACATGCCAAACACTGTATTGTCAGCATTGTTTATTCTCCGTCAATCAAATCTATGCTGACAAAATGAACTCAGAAATGTCCGATAATGTCCTAGAACAAGCGGCACAAGCGACCGCGAATTTATTACCAGTAAAATCCAAGTCTAGTATTTACAAGTTTTTTCATTCCTACAACTGTGAAAATATATATGTTCCAAGTTTCTTTCGTGTCTTTTTTATGTAATATTTTATTATTATATTTTCATTTTCATTGAAGTGTAATAAAAAATATCGATCATTACTCGTCCAGAAATGATTTTTCCGTGCTTGCATGACTTCCCGTGTTCGGCTTCGCCTCATACGAGAATTTGTCTAATGCGCACGGAAAAATCCCTATTTCCAGACCCGTTATGAAATATACTATTTTTGAACCTCGGGAAGAAATTATAAAAAACTTCTCGATATTCCTTTTGGGCAAGAAAAAGTGTTTTTTCAATATCGTCGGAAGATGGAAATGATGTGGCCAAAGACTTAAAAATTCCAGGCGCAAGCATCATTCAAATTGAAACTATTTGCTTTCGAATGTATATCGTTGAGGCCTGATAATTAGTAATTATTAAACAAAAATCAGGAGCAATCAAGTTGACTGAATCACAAAGTTCAATATCAATAAGACAAGCAAGTTTCTTCCCCATCAAAATAGTCAAAGAAACCGTCATAAAAAATATATCTCGAAATGTATGGTTCTGGTATACCTTAAAATAATGAAAACGCCAAAATAAATTAACCTATTCAAACGATCAGACATGGCTGTGAAACGTGTGACGTCAGTGCGCAAGTAATTTGGATTGGTAATGCCCTCACCATCTCGCAATAAGTGCTAGTAATAGTTATTTATGTATTAAGGGAATTATGAGGGCCTTAATTACCGATGGCAAAGTTTGCGTCCCGAGGGCCTCTGGCCCGAGGGACAGCAATTGCCAGAGGTTATTGAGGCTCTATAATTCCCGTGATACATAGATAATTTTATTTCTGACTGATTTCATTCATCAGATACCTTCCCGATGGGAAGTTAAACATGTTTTTCCGTATAGTTCCAATGTCATCAGAACGTCAGATGATGATCTTGACTACCGCGAATAGGAGATTCCTTATTGCTACGTTATTGCATGGTTGTTGCTATGCATTTCTTATTTAATTTTAGCTAGAGGGAATTATAGCATCTATAACATCCCAAGGGAGTTATGACCCTCATAATAGATATCGTAACTATGACGATATAAGCTTATAATGTCACTGTCAGAAATAAAATTCATAATGGACGTGACAATGTTGCCAATCGGAACAAAAACTATGATTAGTCGGATATTTATTCCTCGATTTTTTTCGATTCAGCATATGTTACTATAAGATAACTCAACTAATACCTACCCACCTAAAAATTCGTGGTACTGAACAATTGCATTGCATAATTAGTTGGATAATTGATTTCTGTTTGTTGATTACTTAAAATTACAAGTGAAATTTGATTTTGTATTGAATTACAATGCAGATATTCATGACATTCATAGGGAAAGGAACACATTCTGAATCATTCAATACTAAATTACTCGCTTGGTTAAATTTTCTATACAAGCATCACTGCCATCTTGTCAATAATATTGAGAAATGAAAACAGTGAAGTTATGCGAAGAATGAGGTTTTTTAACTTGACAACATTATGCTAGCGCCAGTTACTTCATCTTGTTCTCTTGTAGACATGGTTGCCACATTAACAATTATATTTTCCGTGAATGAGTACTTGAGATAACATAATACTGATCAATTTGATGATTGTCAACGAAATTGTAACATCATGAATCTTAACAAACTGATCAGAACGGGAACCCATGTGAAAAGCGTCTTATTGTTAGATGTCTGTATCACATTTTATCCTAGCTAGTCTTGAAACTTATATTTCGCAGTTCAGAGTAAATTGAAACTTATCAGATGTGATTTACCAATTAACCAATTACCTAATACTTACATAGTAATTTCGAATAATGGCATTTCTTGCACCATCTTGCACATAGGATCAATCCAAGGATTTCGAAGAGACCTGGCAACAGTGGTTGTTTCCCAGTCATCGCAAATTCCTATCAATCAAATTGCAAGGAGACACTGACGTCACAACTCAGTAGCGTTTGAATTCACAGGTATCGAAAGTGCATCTTCAATATTGAATAATTCGTTGAATACTGTCTGTAGGTTAACCGAGGAGGTGGAATATTCATTATTACAGATTTTTCGGGATTTTTCATCCTCGTTTTTATGAAATAAATGAATAAAATGAAGTGTCAGTGACACTTATTATTGAAAAAGGTTTGGAGAAGAGAAATATAGGTATATAGAAAAAATATCATATTTTCACTTAGCTTTGGACGTATCGGGAACGAAACTGCTCCTGTTTTCAACATGAAAAATATAAAAATTATTCTTCGAAAATTGTCTGCCTATAGTGTGGCACACTTATCAGTGACAGACCGATGTTGGCATATGAATAAGTGATGTTAGCATACAAATGAGTTACAGGACGTTGTCAGTAATTGATCTTGAATCTACCATCTCATGTTCAGTTTTCAGTAGTGAATACCATGTTCTATCTATATCAACTGAACAGGTAGCAATGCTATTGTCTCCGTTCAGAAGAATGCAAGCGGATTCCTTGTTTTTTCTTATTTGGTTGTTATCTTCATTTCCTATGATTTTAATATTATTCCACTCTGCCATATGTTGTCCATTTTCAGTATGGACATGTTCAGCTAGTTTTGATTCATCGATATGTCTTTTTTTGATATTGTACTTATGATCAAAATCAAGGAGTCCGCTTGCATTCTTCTGAACGGAGACAATAACATTGCTTCCTGTTCAGTTGATATATATATACAACATGGTATTCACTACTGAAAACTGAACATGAAAATGCTAGATTCAAGATCAATTGATGAAAACATCCTGTAGCTCATTTGTATGCTAACATCACTCATTCATATGCCAACATCAGTCTGTCATTGAGAATTGTCACACCATAAGAATACAATTTTCAAAGATTAATTCTTTACATTTTTCATGTTGAAAGCGGGAGCAGATTCGTTCCTGGAACATCCAAAGCTAATTAAAAAATTGATATTTGTTCTACATATAT